AATGGTTGCTTGTGGGAGGTTGCTCTTATTATTGGGGGTGGTATGTAATAGTAAACAGAAGCAGCTGCTATTTAGCTGCATAATTTACTACAGCATATATTATCTGCATGTAAAGAAGCACATACTCCACTTTGAGTTTGCATCAGAAACAGACCTTATTCCATACCCATTTTTTTTCCTTTTGTACTTTTCATAAGAACGTGGTAGACTAAACTGTGAAACTGAGGAACGAATAAGGTTTTTAGGGTGCAGTATTTTCAGTGCATAGGCAAAATGAAGACCTGACCATAACTTGCAAAATGTCTAATCCAGTTGAAAGGGTGTGTGTATTCACTTGGTGAATGAAGCTTACACTAGTGTGTCTCCTGGCTTCCAAAGTAATTTCATCATCTGGTACATGAGATAAAATACACATGTTTTATGCTAGAAATACAGAGCTCAAATTATTTATTTTTTTTTTTCCCTTTCTTGGCTTGCCCTGTCTTTTTAAAAGCCTGGATAACAGACATGGTCTGTTTCATTATTTCAGACCTGGATATGACTTATTAATGATTCCTGATATGAGTTGAACTGTTTGCCTAGCTGACTATAACCCCAAAGTAAATATCATTTAGAAAGTTTTTTTTATAGAATGTTTTGGTTGTTGGAGTGTGTGCTCATAAAAATTCATAAGACTGGCCTATCATTTATCCTGGCTAAAGAAACAGAAGTGAAAGTTTAAACATGGGAAAAGTATATTCTGTATTCACAAAGGTTTTAATCCTCACCTAGATGGACTAGTCTCTCAAATTGCAAAGAAAGTCAGACTCTATGTTGGTTTCTCTGTGGTATCCTCTGATGTGCTGCCCTTTAATTTATGTTAGCCTTGGAACCAAACAAGAGTCTTTGTTTCCCAAAACTCACTTTGTCCAATCCATGTGGCTGGAAGAGCCAAAGAGAAATGGCTTCATTATTTGTAAATACAGTTCAAGGTCTAATACCTCAACTCTCTATTAATAACATTTCTAAAGAAAAAGAGTAAATAGAAGACTAATGTTGTAAAAGCTGACATAAACTACTGGATTTGGAAATTTCAGCTATCTTCCTAGTTGCGTCGTCTTCCTGCATTGTCTAGAGCAGGGCATGTGCTCAGGATGAGCTCAGTGCAATCTTGTCTTCGTTCCGAGATTGGCGAGATTCAGGGCGAGATTGTTTGTTACATATTTGGTCCCCACGCCCAGCTCAGTCCCCCAAGGTGGAAAGACTAATAATTGTGTGGCCTGTATTCTTTAATTAGATTCTTTAATTCAGGCCACTGAAGCTCAGAGGCAGTTCTGCCATGGTGCTGTACCAATGTAAATGTATTGAGGACACTGAACACCCAGTAGAAGAAGCATGTATTGATAAATAGACAGAGAGGATGAGAGCCAAAAGCCAAATTTCAGCCACAGTTTTGCCCACGCTGGGCTGGTGAACAAACATGAAAGTATTCTAATATCCCCTGCAGAATGGACAAGCTTCTTGGACCATGCCCATACAGCATGACAGGCTACCCTTAGAAATTGATTTTGACAACAGATGAGATGGAAGATTCTTATCTTTTGCTAAGAAGAAGCAACCCTGGAAAAATCACAGTAACTATAAACAAGCCAAAGAACAACAACAACAAAAAAGTAAATTGGGATAAAATATTTGGAGATCTGCCCAGAGGAAGCAGTGAAAAACTTGGAAAGATGCCATGACTTTGCACCCATGCATGAAAGACAAAGTATTTGTTGCCATAATCTTCTTTAAAATAAATAATGGGAAAGAAGACAGCCTACAGAAATGGTTAAGACCTGGAGAGGGGTCATTGTTCCAGGCCCAGGGAGTTTCTCTGTACAGGTATGTCAGCCAGAATCCTCACCAACAGTAAGTTTCCAGAAGCACAGACAGGTTTCCATTTTGTCCATCCTTGTACGGACCCTACAGCATTGTTGAACAAAGCAATAAAAGATAGTGGCTGGCTCTCCTAAATTTTACTGTTTTTCAGAAAGCTTTTGTCAATGAAGAAAATTATTGTAACGGACAGTGAAACTAACTTTTTTTTCTCTTTTTCTTTTTCTTTTTCTTTCTTTCTTTCTTTCTTTCTTTCTTTCTTTCTTTCTTTCTTTCTTTCTTTCTTTCTTTCTTTCTTTCTTTCTTTCTTTCTTTCTTTCTTTCTTTCTTTCTTTCTTTCTTTCTTTCTTTCTTTCTTTCTTTCTTTCTTTCTTTCTTTCTTTCTTTCTTTCTTTCTTTCTTTCTTTCTTTCTTTCTTTCTTTCTTTCTTTCTTTCTTTCTTTCTTTCTTTCTTTCTTTCTTTCTTTCTTTCTTTCTTTCTTTCTTTCTTTCTTTCTTTCTTTCTTTCTTTCTTTCTTTCTTCCCTTCCCTTCCCTTCCCTCCCCTCTCCCCCTTCCCCTTCCCCTTCCCCTTGACATTCCCTTTCCCTTCCCCTATTATCCATACATTTTGAAACATTATTAGGGTGTGAAATGTACTGTAGTTTCTAACTAGGAACTACCCTATTGGTGTGATATCCTGTGGTTTGGTCCTGCCCAAATCCTCTACTTTTTTGTTAGAGGATCTTCAGTGTGGAATAAGAATGGCAAATATAGATGGCACAGTTGGAAATCTGGATTCAGTTGATATCTGCCTCTTGAATGCACCATCAAAAGAAATGAGTGAACGAATGATATTCTAGCCACAAAATCAATAATTTAGATTTTGTTGTTAACTAGCAAATGAAAATAACTGCTATGAGAACCAGATGGTCCTACAGTACCTGAGAAAGAAACCTCACAAATTGTTCACAAATGTAGTTATTCAGGGTGTAACTTCAGTAAAGAGAGTGACAACTTTGTTATCATTTTGACTTGAAGGTTACTACTATTTGGAAGCCTACCCTGGTGAGAAAAGGCTCAAGATATCACCAAGTTCAACACCACTTTCTCAGCAGTTACATGGCACAGTTGTTGCCACACTGAGCGTTTCCCAGCAACTCTATCCAAGAGACGGTGAAGAGCCTCCAGCCAGGTTCCCTAGGCTCCCATTGCCAGCTGCAGCAGGTATCCTGTGACTTTGGAGTAGTCATTAATGTTTAAGCCAGTACAGCTCTGAGTCAGATGTATCTTACAGTTTGAAATCATGGCATCATAGAATCATGGTTTGGAAGGGACCTCAAAGATCATCTAGTTCCAACCCCCCTGCAGCGGGCGGGGACACCTCCACTAGACCAGGTTGCCCAAAGCCCCATCCAACCTGGCCTTGAACACTTGCAGGGATGGGGCATCCACAACCTCTCTGGGCAACCTGTTCCAGTGCCTCACCACCCTCACAGTAAAGAATTTCCTCCTTATATCTAATCTAAATCGACCCTCCTTCAGCTTAAGGCCATTACCCTTTGTCCTGTCACTATATGCCCTTGTAAACAGTCCCTCTCCAACTTTCCTGTAGGCCCCCTTCAGGTACTGGAAGGCTGCTATAAAGTCTCCTAAATAAGACGTATTTTAACTACTGGAAGGAAAGATAAATGGTATGCAAGATGGAGAGAAAGAGGTTTCACAGCACAGCAATGCTGCTACATACAGTACTGCATCAGCTCAAAAGAAAAAAGCTGATGAGTCACCTGTTCGACAGCATGAGAAATAGATAACTAATAGATAGACCAAACTACAGATGTGCTCTTTCCATGGCACTGATGTAGATAGTCTCAAACTGAAAAAAATACTTACTCATATGGATGAAACACAAGGAAATGCATGGAAGAGACCAACTTTCTATTAATATATCTATTAATAGACCTTTTTAGGTCTCTCTGATCTTTTCTGAATTGAAGAAATGTTATTCCTTTTGATACAACATTTCTCCATAGATAGGCAATGAATAAAATGGTCAATATTTTTCCTGAAAATATTTGTTAGTATATTTTAATTTTTAATGTAAGGTCATATAGATCTAGGGATAGTCATTCTTTGGTGCATTTGAGTCAAATAAAGACATAGGAATCAAAAGCAAATTTGTATTTGATAGAAAAAGAAAGCTGGAAGGGACCTTAAGTAATCTAGTCTCTTGCTCCACTCAGTAAACATCCCTGTCAGATGCTTTTCCAGTGTTCTTAAAGACCCCTAATGGTGGAAATCCCCAAACCCCCTCAAAGATCCTACTATTAATCCATTATTGCATTTGAAAGTCCCTTTTTTTCCAATGCCAAATCCAGAACTCCTTTTCTGCATTTCATGTCCTGTTTACCGTACTTACAGACCCCAGATCTATTCCATTCTTCCTTTTGATTGTTTTCCTCTTAGCTTTCTCATTTAGTCCCAAGCCCCTCATTTATCTCAACCTTTCATAGTAAATAATTTTCCTCTAGATTTCTGGTAATCCTGACTATTTCCTCTCTAACTGGCCCACTTCTTTCTTTAAACACTGTGCCCAAAACAGAAAGTATTATTCCAGCTGATGCTTTTCAACTGTAGAGAGAGTGAAAGGATTATATGACACTGACTTTTCTCATTGTTTACAGTCATCAGCAAAGAGTTGCAAAGCTTTTGAAATTCTAGAGGAAATTTTAGCCTTTGTTGGAGAGTATGACATACATATAATTAAAAAGTGTCACTTGCGATCCTTAACTATTGAAATTCCACGTGCTGCACAGGTTTCAGTTAAAAAGAATTAATATTCATAGAGAATGAGTTTTAATTTGTGTGTTGGGTGATAAATTCACAGAGCACTGGAACAGGCTGCCCAGAGAGGTCATGGAGTCTCCTTCTCTGGAGATATTCAAAACCTGTCTGCATGCAATCCTGTGGAACCTGCTCTAGGTGATCCTGCTTTAGGAGGGGAGTTGGAATGATCTCCACAGGTCTCTTCCAACCCCTACCAATCTGTGATTCTGTGTGAAAAGTGCAGTTTCACTCAAGCTTGCAAGATCATGATATCCTCTTCCTAAAACTTTTAGTAGTCTTCAGAGAAACATAAAAGATTAAGGGATTTCTTGCACTTACCACTCTGTAAATTCCCATTGGGTGAAGAATTTCTTGGATTCAGACATTGCCCATGAGATAGCTGGAAACTTTTTTTGCACCCAGTACAGTTCTCATAGCTGTAGCCAACACATGTTGCACAGCTCCTGTGGCAAGGTTCACATTCTCTAGAGATGTCATCAGTGAAGAATCCATCTCCACACTCACTCACACATATGCCACCTGCAATAGAAACAGAGCCTGGCATCATGGCAGGTACTGAGCTGGGTCAATCCTGAAAAAGAGGTACCTCACCTATAGCATCTCTCTGTCTCCAGCAAGAAGCAGTTTAAGAAAAAAAGGTATATAAGAATCCATGAAACTTTTTGTAGCTGTATAAACTCTATTTGTTTAGCATGAAACCTAAATTCAGCTCAGTTGCTTATGCAAACCTCACAAACGTCAAACCAATCTGCACTTAAGCTTATACATTGATGAGTTTTCATCCATATCCTAAATCCTGGCACATACAAATCTTACAAAAGTCCAAATCTGGATAAAAATCTTATGGTTGAGTCCCAGTTATTATACTGGCCCAACATAAAATCTAAGTCCAGAATTCCTTAAGATTGTTAGATATGTGCAATTTTTGAGGATTAGATGAATCTCTTGTTTCTGGTGAATACAAATATAAACTCAAGTAAATCTGATTCAATTTAAGGGTTGGCATACTGCAGCAAAGCCTCTAGAAGTTGTTATACTGATAGTTTTTGAGCTTGCTCCAATTTCAGTTAAAAAAAAAAAAAAAAAGTAGACCATCAGATCACTTTGGGTTGTGACCACAGAGTTTTTCATGAATGTAATGCTTTTGTGCTCCACTTCTGGGCACCTTCAGTGAGCAATGCACAGGAATACCATAACCTCAAGATTTCCTGTGATTCATTTTTGGCACCATGTCTGAACAAGACCTGCCTATGGCTTTGTAATCAAACTAACAGATTCCTAGTCCTGCGTGAATGTGACATAGAATTTAGTGGTTTTAACTGAGCTCGTTTTAGAGTGTTTAAGACTTGTTACTTTATGTGGATCTGAAAGTCAAAGTAAAACTAGACTTGCAAATAGAAAGGAAATGTTTCCATGTCTTTCTGTGAGTTAAAAACCCGTCCTTTCACAAAGTCTGAAACAAATACAATATTTTTTGTATTTACCCAAAAGAGTGGAAATGCATTAAAAACAAAACTAGGAAAAAAAAAAAGTGGTAATATGTAGTCAAATACATGAAGCCTTTGAGCCAAATAGCGCCGTTGGCTAACATAACCACCTTACATTAATGCAAAGGACCCAATTCTGCAAAGTGCTAACTGCCCTGAGCTTCTACTGTCTGCCATAGAAAAGTTTTGTGAATTTGAGAGGTTAGGTCCAGACTCTTTTGCTAAAGTGAAAGTCTGAAATACTTTTGTATGTATGCCATACTTGTTACCTTGCTTACCTGAGAGATAAAAGCCTTCCTTACATGAGTCACACTTGTCCTTGTCACAGCTATCACAGTTTCTAGGACACTCTCTACACTGCAGAGAACTTTCATCTCTGTAGGTATTTTCTGGGCAGTATTTATAGCAATGGTGCTTATACCTGTAAGATAAAATAGACTATCATTAGTAAGTATCTTTTCAGGTCATTGAGTTTGCTTTCTATATATTTCTAGGTATGGTAATGGTAAAGCTCTATTCTCATCCTAATGAATGGAAATTATTCCTGTAATGAAGGATTCAAAACGTGTTTGTGGTTATGTTACTTATTCAACTGGCAAACATTAACAAGTCATGTTTTCTAAACTCAGGGTTCTTAAGTATAACTAATTTGATTTTCTTTTTTAAATGTAGGCACAAAATCAAATGCATGCTTAATTAGAAATTATTATATTGTGGTTGTAAAGAGCTGATTGCTTGTAAAAATATATAATCCAATGTGATTGTTTATAGCTAGATTGAATAGACTTTTAATCAACATTTTCTTTTGTCATGGTAATTTTTACAGAGATCTCTTAATTGTCTCTTTGAAAAGCAGTACAGTTCTTCTTTTCCCCCTGTTTAAGTTAAACCTTTCAATTAATCTATATATTTTTTCCTTTGCTTAACTTCCTTACATTTTTAAGTGTGCATGCTGAACTGCGAATACCAGAACTGGACACAATATACTAGAGCATACTAGTTCCATATCCAGAGGCACCATTTTACTTTTAGACCCTTTCTGTTCCATATTCCTCTCTTCATATATGCAAAGTTCACATCAGTCCATAAGTTTTAAAAGGCCTTGATAGTGAGTGATTGGCTAGTTTTTCAGCCAACTTTTTCCAAAGTTACTGTTCTCAGATAGGCAATACTTAAAAGGGTATGGGATAACACACAGAGCACAGATCTGTGTAGCGAAGCACACATTTTTGCTTTAAAAAACTGTATGGCATGAAGAGCTATACAGCTATACTTACATATAATAGTTCTGAATGCATGTTATACAGACTCTTGGGTCATCTGAAATTAAAAATATGCAGTTACATAAATATTTTTCAGAGTTAAAACGAGAATGCTAAAAAGAATTGTTGCTACACCATTTTTATGTTCATATTTCTTACATAAAAACAATACAGCCATAACTAGAACATTATTGTCTCTGAATCTCTGGTTGTATTTGTTGCGAGATAAACTATTCCACAATCAGGTCCTAGCCTGTATTTTTGCAGTGACTTGCGACTTTTGAGTCCTCAGCATTAAGGTACCTAAGAAGGTGCTGAGTGCTTAGGAAGTGCTGTTCTGAAAAGCAGAACCATCCTAGGAGCTCAGGTTGGGCAGAACGAACTCTTAAAAGGACACTCTAATTTACCTGAATATGCAGTTTTATTCTATTTCTTGATTTGTTGCAGAGATAAGTTAAAGCATTTGGAACCTCTAAAAGCAAACTTTTCAAAACCATGTAAGTAATCAATCTAATCTTAAAAATCCTGAGCTAGACAAACACCTTTCTATATTATGGGGGGGGCTGGGCAAGGCTTTTGGGTAAACTTTCTCATCAGAAAATTAATTTTTGCATTCAAAAATTTCGTTAAGTAAACAGAAAAAGTGTTATACAACTTCTTAAAACTATTACAATGATGGATATGGCTTTAGGTTCACACAAAGTGAAAAATATTTTCTATAACCTTCCATTATCTTCTATTAGTTTTCTATTTCTTTTACCTTACTCAAATATCCCAAAGGGAGCAGAATGGAAGGAAACAGAACAACCTGAGTGAATGTATTTATAAAGTGTTCTACTATGAAATGCCTATAAATTATTTTTGATATTAATAGTACTCATAAGGCAGAATTTTCACTGAGTCTGTTTGAACTGTGTCTACAATAAATCACACTTTACACATGCAAACTTATTAGGCAACATGCACTTGGTTTTGCAAGTAGTTCTAGCAATTTATTTATGAGGTGTAAAGTTTTACCCAGAAATGTTGCAGATCTGTGAAAATATTCTCTTTACTGTTTAGAGCACAAACAGAAAGAGCAATCACCTGATCTAATGTTCTTTGCATTAGATTTTATGTTAAGACAGGAAATACTCTTAAAATACAAAAATATTTTCTATGAAGTCTTCCTTTACTTCTAGATAAAAGATATTGGGTTTGTCCAGAGCTTCTTTGTGAATGATTTCTGAAATACTAATATTGTGTCTGAATAAAGATGCTTCCTGAGATACATTTTGCCCAATTCATTTGTGTGGGTTTTTTTCCTTACAGTATTTATAGAACATTGTTAGGACCCAGGTTGTTATGATGATAAATAAGTGTATTTATATCTTTTGAATATTATTATGGCATTGGCACATACAGTCCTTATGTTTTCTTCATGGAAAGAATAGAGTACACATCCAAGAGACATTGTTAAAATTGCTGGGGTTGCTTGAGGGTTTAGTAACTAACTCTCCATGTACTTTCTGGCTTTTATGAAGAAAGGACTCTTTCCTCTCTTGCCTGTGAGAGGTTCTGATGACATTTTTCTTCACTAACTGCCCTCTCAGTTTTGGCTGTATTGATGACTCTCTATATAGCTCAGTTTGAGACAGATCTCGGCAGTGATTGCAAACAAAGACACAATGTCTAGCTGTCCTCTGGAAAGAGATTAGAAAAATTAAGTGTTAAGTAAGTGACCATTAAGTAAAGACTATGTATTTTGAGTTGGTTTAGGATCTAAGAGAAAGTATCTAGGAACAAATGGGTAAAAATTGTTTGTTTGTTGTGGATTGGAATACATATTGTAGAGAGGGCAAAATAGTGTAACACAACTAGCACTTGCATTCTGCTGTTTACACAAAGTTTAGACAGCAGTGGTAATAGCAAATACCTTATTAGAAGGCCATGAATTTCATAGGAATAGATGGTTTACTGTATTTCATTTGGGAATGCATTGAGTCTTTCTTCAAACCTAAGATTTTGGAGGTGGGGGGATAATTTCTTGACAATTTTGCAAAATGAAAACATTCAGTCATTGGGCTAGTGCGGCCTAAGTTCACTTGCCAATTTGTTTACTATCTTATGTTATTTATCAACCCTTACAGAACCATTGTTCTTTCTCTTAAAGACATACCCACTAAATAGAAGCTCTTCCACCTTCTATACTTAGTCATAGTTTCTGAATTTAAACTGTGGAGAGATAATGAACTCAGTTTAGAAAGGAATGCAAAGGGGCAACCATCTGATAGCAGGCAGAGAGAAAACTAAATATGCAACTATTCCTGCAATAGCGAATTTGATATTTAATTTGATATTTATGTGTTTCCAAAATCTTGGAAATTAATTTTAAGAATGAACTAAGTCTAGGGAATTCTATGGATATACATGTGCAGTTCTTCAACAGTGGCTCCTTTAAAATCTGCCACAATCAATTCTTGGACTAACAGTAACAAACATCCTATATTCACTGAGACCTTTACTTGCCCATAAAATAATGAGATCTCTGTGGCACAAAGTGGGTTGGTAGATATGTCACGGTCCAGAAGACCTGTTTTCCTGAGAATTGATAATATTTTATGTATATTTTACAGTTTCCATTGGCATTGATTTCCACTACGTTGAGCATGTGCCACTCTTTTGAAGACAGAAACGAAAGTGATCTTGATAGCAATGGAAACAGGATTCAACCAATTTTAAAATATAAGGCCTTAGACAGAAACAAGTCCTCTTGTGACTTTCTGGTTTTATTGCAGTTTTCTTAGATAAGTAAAGATCATCTAGAGTTCATAGAAAAAGTAATTTTGTTTCTTTCCTTGTCTGTAATAAACTGATACTCCTGTTCCCTCCTCCACCCACCACCTTTCTCAAATACAATACTTTCGGAGTGCAGCTATGTTATAACACCGAAAAGGTACATGCAAATATTAAATATTGGTCAAAGGCCAAACATTCATGCATTCTCTTGGAACTCTCTGATTTGACATGAACTAGTGTTTTTTTCTACTCTGGGAGGGAAGTATGGGAATTAGCATTACAAGCAGAGCATTGTTGTGCTGGAAGGCTATTTTTGTTCAAATATGTAGAGGAACACTGTAAGTGATTTTTTTTTTTTTTTTGGTAGTATTACTGTAAAGGCTCAATGAAATATTTAGTACATAAGTTCATTCATATTAAAAATGAGCTCCAGAGCGTTTTGGAAATACTTGTCACTGTTTCACTATGTTTGAGTGTTCATGGTATTTAGACAGATCCTAATTCTGGAAACTTTACGTGGCTAGCCCACTGTACTTTTGAGTAGCACTCAAAATATCCCATCTAATTAGACCCAGATCTTGCAGTGACTCCTATGCATTCTTGACTTTATCTACTGTATACAATAAAGCTAGGAGTTGAAGTTAAGTGCAAGGGTACATTCTGCAGGATCTGTATTTAGGCTGTAACTTAATTTAGCTTCCTGTTTTGTTTATGAATTTTTTTTTTAAATTAAATTTCTTGACCTATTTATTGGCTCAGCCATGAGCCTAGAATGTGCTGAATACACTCAATCTTTTTTGCATTCAGGAGAAGTTCAGGATATTTACTGCCTGGGACTTAATATCTGGTTTACCTTTCTTTTCCAGTTTAATTAAATGTAATGACTGAAAATGATTTTATATTACATTGCAGTTTTACTTTAAGGGCCAGCCTGCAGTAATTGTTTAATTTCACCAGTTACTGCTAGATTTTATTTGCCTTTTACATTTCCCTGAACAATAATTTACAATAATCTAAAAAAAAGTACTATAAATTGTAATATATCACCAACAAGAGTAATCATATATTTTAACTACCTTAGACCATTTTTTCTTTAGTTTTTATGATATCCCAATTAAAATAACTGAAATGTACAATCCAAACATAATAAGAATTTTGACTAGACATGGGCACAACTGAAACCTCAGCTTTCAGTAAGCCTTGAAAATGAAGATTTCTGTTGTGGAACCAAGGACTCTGGTTTGGATCTTTGTCATGTGAGAAGGTATTTGTTTGTCTGTGTCTTTTTTATTATTATTTTATTATTTTAATTTTATTTTGTGTGTGTGTGTGTGTGTTTTGTCAGTAAATCTGCTTTATCTTCTTTCCTCTTATTTCTGACATTATAATTTATTTTGACAAGTCATCTTACCAGGAAGCGGGAGAAAGAAGAGATTGTGAATTTTAACCAAGGAAAAAGCTGGATTCTGTTGTCAGTTAGATTTATATGGTGAAAAAACAGCATCAGTATTTGCTTTGGCCAAAAACTATAATTTTGGTTCAGCCAAGGTATTTAATGAATTAAAAATATATGTATTTTTAAAGCATAAAAGAAAAAAAAATACTTTGAATAAACTTCATCTCTTCCAAAAATATACTTTTACTAAAATTACCTCTATTCAGGTTTTTGTAATTTTTTTTGTTTTAAATTAAAGCTACCTTTAATTAGGATGAAAATGAGACAAATAAAACCAAAAACTGTTCTGAGTGTTATTCTTGCTGTAAAGCCGGTTAACTGGAAAGAACCACACAGCTCTAATCTCAATTACTTTACTCTAAAGAAAAATAATGTCACTTGCTGTTATTGCATTTCATTGACAAAATAGAGGGAATGAGGCATATTTTCCTGTTCAAATAAGGATTTTTAATATGTTGTAGTTAGAAGTAGTAATGAAGTGCAGATAAGACGAAATGAAACCAAAGATTAACATTATAATATGCATTGCCTGAAATAGTTCCAGGGTTTGTATAACTGAGTTGAAATGTTGATAAATACGTAAATACTTGTATGCATGTTGATAAATGTGTCAAATTTTGGGAGCAATCCTGAAACTTTAAGGAATAGAAAATTTAAAAGCTGACTTTAAAAATAAATTTTGTGTCAAAATACTCTAGTCTCTCACCAGACTTAGTTGGCCAGTGCTGTAGCGAGATTTACACTGCACATGAAGCTCCAAAATACGATATCAACCAGAGAAGTTATTGCTTACAGGGCTACAAAGAAGAACAAAGTGGCTCATTCTTATTCCAAGTAAAATAAAAGGTAAGAGTACTTCAATAAATATGAAATCAGGACATCTGCAGTGCTATCTAACAATTAAGAAAGGGCATTCATTTTATTTGTCTTAGATTTTATTCTATAACTTGGATGTTATGTTATCTTTTGTTCTTACTCTATTGGCCATTGTTTCCACCTATCAAAAAATGTGATGATTTCAAGAAGCATGAAAGCTTCATAAACTGTATAAATTTTCTGTGTGTTGAGATGCATTTTCTGAACACACTTCTTATGCTGAGATGGTCCCTTATGTTTGAATAGTTTCTTACTGCATAGGTAGTTCCTCTGAGTGAATAGCATTACACAAAGAGTGCTCTCCTACAGGCAAGAATGCAGACTGTGGGCCAGAGGTCCTAAGTTTACACCACAGGCATCAATGCAGGTTTTACCACTAATATGAACAGCTGGATTCCATTGGTTCTCCATTAACAAAACATATTTATGTAGGCAGGTCTCATCTGGGAAACATCTTCTCTATATCGGGAGAATCCAATATTTGCACTGCTGCAGTCAGTAAGTGGTTCAGTAATACAATTCCTTATCTGAAAGATCAAGACCCTGAGCTTTAGGCTGGTATAAACTGGAACCCAGGAAGTTCCATCTCAACATGAGGAAAATCTTCTTCACTGTGAGGGTGACCAAGCACTGGAACAGGCTGCCCAGAGAGGTTGTGGAGACTCCTCTGGATATATTCAAAACCTGTCTGTACGGAATCCTGTGCAACCTGCCCTAGGTGATCCCACTTTGGCAGGGGGTTGGACTAGATCTCTGCAGATCCCTTCCAACCCCTACCGTTCTGTGATTCTGTGATAAAACCAGAGAACTGAGACAAGTACATACTGAAGTAGAGCTGCTTGAATTGGGTAGACTAGACTAGACTAGACCAGAATAGTTCTAGTTGGAAGAGACCTGCAATGATCATCTAGTCCAGCTCCCTAAGCACTCCAGGGCTTACCAAAAGTTAAAGCAAGTTATTACCAAAAGTTAAAGCAAGTTATTAAGGGCATTGTCCAAATGCCTCTTAAACACTGACAGTCATGGGGCATCAACCACCCCTCTAGGAAGCCTGTTCCCGAGTTTGACCACCTGCTTGGTAAATAAATGGTTCCTAATGTACAGTTTACACCTCCCCTGGCTCAGCTTTGAGCCATTCCCACATGCCCTATCACTGCATCCCAGAGAGAAGAGCTCAGCATCGCCCTCTCCACTTGCCCTCCTGAGGAAGCTGCAGAGAGCAATGAGGTCGCCCCTCACCATCCTTTTCTTCAAACTAGACAAACCCAGAGTCCTCAGACACTCCTCACAGGACATGCCTTCCGGCCCTTCCACCAGCTTTGTTGCCCTCCTCTGGGCACATTCAAGGACTTTCACATCTTTCTTAAGTTGTGGGACCCAGAGCTGCAGACAGTACTCCAGGTGAGGCTGCACAACGCTGAATACAGCAGGATAACCCCCTCTTTTGACCAGCTGGTTATGCTGTGTTTGATGCACCCCAGGATGGGGTTTGCTCTCTTGGCTGCCAGGGCATACTGCTGACTCCTGTTGAGCTTAATGCTGACCAGCACCCCAAGACCCCTTCCTGCAGGGCTGTCCAGCCACTCCTCTCCCAATTTAGATTTCTGTCCAGAGTTACTCCAACCCAGGTGCAGAATCCAGCATTTGCTGGTGACTATAAAAACCCCAAAGTTCTGGTGGAGGCACCAGTCTTGGAGCCAGGTGTTGGTGTCCTGGGCTCGCCTGTTTCTTTCAGTGTGTCCCATTAATGGGAGCATTGCGGAAAACACTACCTGTGCTCCTGAATCCTTCAGCATTCTTCCCAGGGTCCTGAAATCTCTTTTGATTGACCTTGGTCTTCTTGTTGAAACATCACTGGTACCCACATGAAAGAGCAGAAATAGGTAATAATTTGAAGGCTGTACTAATCTCATCAGTTTTGTGGTGACATCCCTGATCTGGGCCCCAGGAAGGCAGCAAACATCCCTGAAAGAGGGTCTGGTCTGCAGATGGTTTAGATTATATTTGTTTTAATATATTTGTTCTTCAGTAATTCCAGCAGAATGATTCAGCAGCTAGCATTTCTTTACTGTTTTGATTCATGAAGCTCCTGAACTGCAAACTGTTGAAGGACTAGCAATACATGCTTTGTTTGTCTTTGTAATTTTAGGAATACGCTCATTGTTTGGTCAGTGGCTACTGAGCTAGGTCTGATCCAGTATTTTTCTTCTGTGCTCTTATTTCTGTGGAGAACTCCAAACTAAAATCTGGAACATTCTGTGTTTGCAGAACTCATGGTTCAATCTTATATCTTAAGTTTTTCCAATTACTTGCCCCAAGCCTGGATTCTACTCAGGAAGTAATTTTCTTTCTCAGAGAAAGAAAAATTTCAAAGACAGAATGTTTTCTTTAATGCATACATCTTGTATCTTCCACATACAAGGAAATTCACTTTTACCTATTCTTTAGGAAAGACAACATTCTCTAATGTAATGTTCTGCCTCCACTGAAATGTCAGTACTGAAAATCAGAGAAGAACATTTCCAAATCTTGCTGGGCATTCTTTTTGCACAGATTGCATATTCTCACTCCAGAAGCCTGTGGAAACGAGTCCTATTACCTGCAAATCTAAACACCATTCCTCAAGATTAACCTCTTGAGGAAGATTTACTCTGAGATAAAAAAGAATCCTTATCATAGTTTTCTCTGGTATTTTGAAAGCCTAAGTCTATTCATCATCAGGGAAGGTTTGAAGAAATTAATTTTTCCTTTGTGTTTCTTAGGTTGCTATGGCAACCAGTTCACTTTTCACTCATTAATCACAAGCACAACTGCCAGAATTGCAATCCATACCTGGGAGCTTGAGTCTCTTCAAAATGCTGCCCTTTTAGCTGTCTCATAGGTTCCTTAAATTTTCTCCAAATACCTTTTCTCTCACTCCCACCGCCTTATAGACTGTATTTCCCACCCCATCTCACTCTGTATAATGGATCTTGTGGAGCATTTGCATGTTATTTATTCTCACTTTCTGCCTTTATAGCCTATGTTTGTACCTTGTAACCCAGACCAGATTAAATAGTTGGGTTCTGGATGACCTTTGAGAGTTGCTCAGGCTTTACCTTGCTAAAATAAAAAGTCACACTTGGGCCTAAATGCCTATTTTGCAGACTTTTATTCTCAGGGACACTCCTTGGGGTTTCTTGGTGTTTGTCTCTTTTGTAAGATATCTTTGAAAGAGAAAAATGCAATGGCCATTCTGAACATTCTTCACTCTGCACTCTGAGAAGCACTTTACTCTCAGTGTCAGCCTTTGAAAATAGTCCTGGTGCAAAGGCTGGAAAAGACATGTTGTGCTGCTCTCTGCAGAAACCTGCATGGGTCAAAAGGCGATATACATGATATTTTGGTACATGGAGATGAAGTAATCTCTGGGAAGCTGTGAGAAGTATTCATATCATAACATGTTGTACTTTTGCAAGTTGGGTGAGGCAACTGGAAGTGAATCAGCAAGTAGGTAAGAGTTGGATCAGGAATGTGTGGCTCCATGGGAGGACACTGGTAGAAAGGCAAACAAAAGGCCTGACTTTCGCAATCCCTTCTGAGAGGAAGACCTATTCTTCTGTTGATTCCTATGAATTTATCAATGATCCAGTTAAGCTCCAGGTGTTGCAAACATATAGCTCCTCAATGAACAAGGTACTCATAATGCTGTGTTTTGTATCTAGTATGAAGAAAATGTTGATAATGCACTAATGTTTTTAGTGAGAGCACCAATATGTGGGGGAGACACCTTCCTTCACCTTCCCCTTCTTCTCTAGGGTAATTACTGTAGCTGTTCAGAATGTTGAATATCCCTGGGGTGTTCAGACCAGCGTACTTCTATTGCTAGGTCTCCTGAATGTGGTTCAGGTCTTGTTTAGGGTAAAACAGCTACTGAAGAACACCACCCGGAGATCAACCCCTGCGACAAGCACTGTGGCTACTCCAACTCTTGTGACAGGCACTGTGGCTACTCAAACCCCTACAACAGGTACTGTGGCTACTCAAAATCTGGTGACAGGCACTGCAGTTACACAACCCCTGTGAAAAGCACTGTGGTTACTCAGACCCTGGAGATAGGTACTGTGGTGACGCAAACCCCAGTGATAAGCACTGCATCTACTCAAACCTTGGTGACGTGCACTGTGGCTACTCAATCCCTGGTGACAAGCACTGCAGCTGAACTAGAGAACCAACCTATACAGGTATCCGTTGCCTCTTTATACAAGAAGAAACGGACACAAAAGTCAACTTGTTTAGTAAAGGATGACGAAACAGTGCCATCACAACAACAGGAGGAAGAGACAGAAGCAGAGGTAATCACCCGATCCCTATCCCTAAGTAAGCTGAGAGATATGTGAAGAGATTTCAGTCATCGATTAGGTGAGCAACTTGTCACATGGCTGCTCCGGTGCTGGGCTAACGGGGCCAGCAGCCTGGAATTAAAGGGTAGGGAAGATGATGGACAAGGCAATTGGAAAATGGACACAAGCCCTCAGCCTCTGGAGGCAACTCTTGTCAGGCAGGAGGGAAAGGTATTCCTTCAAAGAAAATGTTATATGTCACCCAGGCGAGTAGACCACCATGGAGAGAGGTATCCAGTACTTGAGGGAACTAGCCATGCGGGAGATGGTTTATTATGACCCAGACAACGTGCAGGTACCCGCAGATCCAGATGAAGTCCAATGTAGGCGACCCACGTGGTGGAGGTTTGTACAGAGTGCAACACTGTCATGTGCCAAATCATTGGCAGTACTGGCCTGGAAAGATGAATAGGCACAAACGGTGAATGAAGTGGCTGGCCAACTCCAGCAATACAAGGAAAATCTCTTTTCCTCCCTGTGGGCCTCTGTCTCGGCAATGGAAAAACTGTCCAAAAAATCCAAAAACCTGTTTGAGATATTGTCCCAGGAGAGGCCCAGCAACTCAAAGAGGATATGTCCGGTTCCCCACTTGTATGGACCAGTATCTCAGCCATTAGGAGTAGGTGTTCTTCTGCTCAAGAGAGAGGACATACAGGGTACATACTAAGAGGTACCCTGTGGTTTGACCTGCATGACCATGGAGGGGACATGAGGAAGTGCAATCAAAAATCTACCTTGACCCTAGAGGCACGGGTACGTGAATTGCAAGGAAAAACAATCTCAAATGGGGATTCTTCCAGGAAAATTGCTGCTGCAGTCTCCAGTGGGCAGTTCCCTAGACAGAGTAGGAGGCCTGATCTTGCTTCTGATCTTCTGGGAGGAGCTTCTAATTTGTATTTACAAGAAGTGAGTAACAAGGA